CCAGACCGGTCGACCGGTCAGCCTACAATCCGGTCGACTGCACAGGTCGACCGGTGGAATCGACTGCGCGAGAGAAGCTCGCGGAAATCAGTCCAAAAACCTGTAAATCCAGTCCCAAATCCAAATATTTCAAAGGGAAACCACTAGATCCGGGTTCTAGGTCCTGAAACAAGTCCAAAGAACCCAAGATCTCCAATTTCTACTCTAGTTTTACTCAAAATCATCAAAATCCGTTTTGAACCAAAAATAAGTTTTGAAATCCGAAAAACATAGATTCAAGAGAGGTTCTTTCAGTAATCTTACCTCGAATCCTTCTCTTGACGTTGAAAACTCTTTGAAATCACTCTTGATTCGAATCCAGTTTTGATTTGAGACACAAATGGGAGAGAGAGAGAGGGAGAGAGAGAGGGAGAGAGAGAGCACGGAAGTGGGAGAGAGAGAGAGAGAAACGCACGGGAAAGAAAAAGAAAAGGAAGGAAAAGAAAGGAAAAAGAAAAAGAAAAGAAAAGAAAAGAAAAATAAAAGAAAGTGACATGTGTAAAATATAACAGTCCAGAAATGCGCCCATACACACTTCTGGATTAAATAAATTACTGTGAATAATTTAAATACCTTGGAATTATTTAAACTCAATTAATTACATCAGATTAGGCACACTAATAATCTCAATTACCTTAACTAATCTCAATTAATTCTTCAGGGTGTTACAAAATCTATAAGATCAATATAAGCTGTGTTGGTAGGGACCAATATTCCCTTCATTTCACAACCGACATATCTTGAAGTATGGTCCCAATGTCCATTATACTTGATGAAAACGTTGAATCCATCAGTCATTCCTAAATAATTTTAAAAACAATAACAGTTAGTTAACATGCAATTACTCCTAGTCAGCATAGAGTCATTAGAAATGACTAGTCATAACACTGTGTAATGGCCGGTCATAAGGCAGTCATAACACTATGGGTCATTTCAGTCATAATATTATGACAGTCCGGTCACATCACTATGACTGCCTTATGGACGATCATAATACTATGACCGGACTATGATTGGCCATTGTGACTCGAACTATTATAATTTGACTCATAGACAATGACTCATACTGTTATGACTGATTGGCCATAGTATTATGACTGGACATATAACACCAAGGTCAACTATGTCTTTGACGTGGTGGTCGTTACAATCAGTTTACATATCAATTATAAACCATCCAATTATAAGTTCAACCGAGTCATTTTTTTCGAGTTCTATGTACTAAGTCTCCCGAAAAATAAATTTAAAAAGAAGAAACAAAAGAAAAACAAAAAAATTGTGTACCAACCTCGATCTGGTGCACAACCGGAGTATTGGCGACGAGGAAATGATGTCGTAGGGAAGAGAGAGATTGAGTAGAGAGAGATGCCAAACTTGAGAGAGAGAGAGCCGAAAATGGGGTGTAGAGAGAGAGAATGGGCAGGAGAGAGTTGACAGTTTCTTTGAGGTGTTTTTAAATGATAATTTTGACATAAGTGGCAAATAAGTCATTTTACCTCACACTACTAACATGACAATGCTAGTTGTGACAGTATACAAAAGTGGTGCTAAAATTAATAATCATTTATTCATGAGTGTTATTATTCAAATTAACCCCAAAAAAAAAAACCCTCAACTAAAATGAGCGTTTAAACCAAATTGAACAACACTTATTGAAACGGATTATATATTTATAGATATAGATAAAATAAAGTTCAAAAATTAAAACGTTTAATTCTACAAATAATCCTTGAGATTTGACCTTAATCTAACTTTGATCCTTGACTTTTAAAGCGTTCTATATTTGATCTTTAAGGTATTATTTTGTTTTAGTTTCGGTCTTTCTACCAACTAAATATTAAATATTTGATAGAATTTATAAAAATTAGAGATCAAAATTGAAAATAATTAAAATTCAGAGTCTAAATCAATACAAAAATTTAAGGACTCATTATTTAGGGGGAACGGATCTCACTTTACCCTTCAATATTTAAAACGTAACATCCGTTCTCTCTGAATAATGAAATGTTAACAAAAATCCTGAATAATGAAATATTAAAAAAAAACCCATTCGGTTAGTCCCTAAGATTAAAATTTAATTTCGACAGATAATCATTAAGATTTAGCTGTTTTCAATTTTAGTATCTTATTTATACATATTTTATTAAATATTTAACACCAAGTTAATTTTGAGACATTTTAAAATTTAAAAATTAAAGTGAGATTTATTTTCAATTTTAGTACCTTATTTATGCATATTTTATCAAATATTTAATACCAAGTTAACTTAAAAACCATTTTGAGATTAACACTAATTAAAATAGCAGTTACTGTCTAGTCTGTCTTGATTATCAACGGTGTAAACAGCCTCCATCATTATCAAACATTGAGCAGCGGCGGAGCGAATAATTGCTCACTTGGCGGACGGTCTTCTTCTTCTTGAAAGTGCACGCAGAGACAGAAAGAGGCCCCAAAATCTCAGATTCTGCTAGGGCAAAATAGGAGCGAACTTTACAATTTCTCTGAAAATGCTCAGGGGAAGAGAAAGCTTGACTCGATTGGTCGGAAAACGCAGGCGATTCCTTCCCAACCGCGAAACTCTTCTCTCTCCTTCTCCGATCCAGGCATTCTCGCGTTCTTTCTCTTCGATTTCCGTTTGTGAAGACTAGATTTTTATTGCAATGAGAGCAATTTTTTCTTTTTGGTTTTTTGGTTGCAGAGTTCGTTGAATCTGCGTACTGATGAAGATGGCAAAATCGTGTCGACGAAGAGTTCGGAAGGATCTGCAATGGCGGTTTGTGGTGAAAAGGATAAAGTTGAGAGTTTTGGAGGTAGAGAAGAGCATTCTGATATGAGTGAGAAGGTAACTTGTCCCGTTTGTGGCAATAAAGTGAGAGGGAATAACTTCACAATCAATTCTCATCTAGGTATATTTACTCTGTCCTCAGATTCTAAGGATGTTTTTTCCTTTCATTTATGGAAAATAGGAAGAATTATTTGTTCTACTAAGTTCAATTATTTGCTTATTGTTTTAGTGATTATTGGATTTTGAGGATAGTAACAAAAATCTCCTTTGTTCTTTGATGTTTATCCCAATGTTATCAGAAACGTATATCCTCTGCCAAGATTTTCAACAAGAATTATGGAAAAGATTTTTAACATGATTTGTAAAATGTAGGCGACAATTTTAACACGATTTGTAAAACATTAAAGAGGATTTGTAAAATTCTGGGAATATTATGTATGGAAAGTAACCCGTATTAAAATTGAACTTGTTTGATATTTCACTTTTAACTCAGAAAACAAAAACTGAAAGTGATATCAAAGAAGGTGTAGTTAGCAAATTATTTTGAGAATTTTGTTTGCTAGTGTAGGTTTTTCTAGCTTAAATGACTTTTGTTGTTGTTGTTGTTGTTGTTGTTTTCTTGAGAAATATGCTATCTTATGTTGGTTTTCATCATAAGGGCTCACTTTTTTTGCCCCATAGATATGTGTCTATCAAGAGGAACCAAAAGGAAATTGACTCAGCGAACGCTTCTTCAAATGAACTTCTGCTTACCAGAGAAAGTTCAAATTCATTCCTCCAAGAGAGCACAGTCAAGGAGTAACTTGTTGCTTATCACCGGTGATGGAAGGACTGTGGGGAATGTTGTTCATGGATTGCCTGATTTTGATTGTTTTGAAGAAAGTGACAGTACTAGTAACATGTCTAAGTCAGTATTAAATTTAAAGTCTGCTTTGCACGAAGATGGTTTATCTAAGAGCTCAATCTGTGATGACAATACAGATGAGAATATTGTTACACATTTTTTGTCCGAGAATAATGAGGTGCCTGATGATGGCATGGCAATAACGTTGGATGACGTATCTGGTGTAATTCTAGAGACTTTTATTGTTGGTCGCAAGTTTAGTGATGCAAAGGAAATAAATTTCGGGGAAAGAATTTCACTCGTGAGAGACCCACATAATATTAAGGATCATAATGCTATCAAGGTTCATTTACCTCCTTTTTACTTCAATATTTTGTCTCTACTTTTATTTTAATCATTTCTTATGGGTATTGCTTAACATTTTTCTTGGATCAGATTATTTCTGTTGATTCCAGCGAACCTAAAGTGCTTGGTTTTCTCCCTTGTGTATTAGCTCAATATCTATCTCCGCTAATTGAGAAGTACTTCCTAAGGTTTGAGGTAATATTTCCAAGCTGGATGATACTTCTGCTCATACGTTTTTCCAGGATATATTCTCAATGTTTGCTGAAATGAGAGATATTAGATAAGTAGAACATATTTTGACGAAAAAAAAAAGATAATTAAAAGAACACGTACACCCTTTAGTTTAAGCTGCTTACCCAAGAAAAAATTGTGATGTGATTGTTTTTAGTCAATCTGGAACAGATGGAAATATATTTTTGAATTTTACTTCTGACATATGCATATTAGATGCATTCCAGACTCTTCCCTTACTATTAATTGTAGTTGTATTTTTCTAGTAGAGCCGTTGGTTTTATGAGGTTATCTGTTTCATGTCCTTTGTATTTTTTTTTTGTTCTTCCTTTGGTAAAAGTATTACGTTTTTAATCAGGAAAAATAAACAGATATATATATATATATATTTACATATTGACTAACAAATCCTACATTTATTATTGCAAATCTGACCATCGAAGGACTTCTCTTGGTTTTCTATTTTTATTTTTTTTCCCAATAGATCCAAGGGATTTTGTAAATTGTGACATATATTTATTTTTTTTTAAAAAGAAACAAGGAAATTTATTGATTGAGAAATAAAGATCAGGGAGAAAAAAGAGGAAGAGTTTTCCTCAAACAACCCTGCTCCAAAATACAAAGAGAATCAAACAAAATTAAAAACCCCGACAACTAAACCAGGTCAAAGGAGGAAAGCTACAAAAAGGGAGCTCAGCTTCTGACAAAATCCAAACAAATCGGCTTGCCAAAATCTCTGTCCCTGTAAATCCACAGTGAGACCCAATATCTTATCTTATCCCATAAGACTAAAACATCATCCTCTCGGTCTTCAAAGACTGCTGTTTCTTTCTAACCATATACCCCAAGGGATGGCTAAAACGGCCACCTTCCACAAAATTGACCCCCTATGATAAAAACTAGACGGGGAGATAAGATGAACAAATCTGTACAATTCCTCAGCAGGACCCACAGAACACCAAGCTCATTCATAAGACAAGACCATAACTGATACGAGAAGGGGCAGTGAAGAAATAAATGATCAACCTTTTCACCATCCTTCTTGCATAATGAGCACCAACCAGGAGAAATCATAGAAGAAGGATTCCTACGCTGGATTACCTCATGAGTGTTTAATTTATTGAGAGACGGTAGCCAACAAAAGACCTGAACCCTAGTGGGGGACTTGGGACTTCCAAATGATGCTAGAGAAAGCAAAGCGCGAGGCTGAATCGTCAGTAACCAGAGATGAGAACAGTGACTTCACAGTTAACAACCCACTTGCTTCTAGGACCCAGACCCTTCTATCTTGCATCAAACCTACGAGCCTAACTCTCTCCACAACTTCTATTAATTTAGAAACCTCCCTCAATTCCATTTCTGTCAGATTCCTACAAAATTGGAAATCCCATGAAATAGGACCGTCTTCTCGGATGCTAGAGATGGGGGCAAAACTTGCAATTGGCCACTCTTGCTATCACCGGGTCCCAGAAAGATAGCTGTAAGGGGTTTCCGCCAAGGGCTACGAACTGACTGAGCATCCAAGTACAGCAGCCAAGCTAGACAATCTATTTCTTCCATGTTTATTCCCAAAATAGTACTTTTATCGAAGTTAACTCTCAGCCCTGATAATATACAAAAAATCCAAACTAGATGATAAATTAGACAAACCATCCGTGTTTGGTGAGCTGAAAAAGAGAGTATCATGAGCGAATTGTAATTGGCTGACTTTAATGTTTGATCTACCCATGATCAATGGATCAAAGATACTAGTTTCCACAGCTCTATCAATTAACCTGCTTAAACATCCACTACGAGAGTGAATATATTTATGAGTATATATCAAAAAAGTTGTGTTGAGTATTATTGAGAAAAGTTTGCTTGTGTGGAAAATAGCCGTATAGTTTTGATGTAAACTAGTAAGAAGAAATTTGAGGTCGTTTCTGTCAATATGCTATTCCATTTATAGTTGCAAATATTTGACATGTTGGCTGATCACTATGAAATTCCAAAAAGATAGCTTAGTAACGTTGTTAAAAGTAAATACATCTTTTGAGATGAGATATTTGAAGATGGTGATTTCTATTACGTTTTAATGATTACATATCTTCACAAGGTGTTTCAGACTTGCATGGAACTTATTTTTTATTTATAACAATGAAACTGCACATGTGGTGTTTCGCTTGCATTTTTTCCCCCTATTAATAGTGTGCACAGTAAATCTGTTTTCTTTGAAAGGTTGTAAGTGTCCAAGTTTCTATGAAATTTATTACAGGGACAGGTCACTTTGGTTCCAAAAAATTCCCTTGATGTTGTTCCGGTTCAGATTTTTTGTCAGAAGGCTGTATCAGATGAAAATAAAGAGAATGACAACCTTGAGGTTTTCAGATACTTATGGAGAAATGCTCAGCAAGTAACTGAATCCACAAAGAATTGTCGAACTAGTTCGACAAAATATCAACAAAACTTTAGTATTCTGATAGGAGAATTTTCAAGAAGTAACCTTCACCTCTTAATAGATGGCGAACAACAATTTTTAGGTATTAACTCAATTGTTTCAAGTCACAAGTATTTTGGTTCTTTTGTTATGACAGGTTATGATTTTATTTTATGCGTTTTTTGTGGGCAGAATTATTCAATTCCTTGTCAGATGACAGTCAGAGGCTTTTTGTACGTCTTTATACACGAAAAGGTATTCCACTGTTGCACCTTTATTTTGTTTTATTTCCCATTCTTTGATACTAATTTTTCATGTTACTTTTATGCTGCATAGGGCCATGGTTTCGGATGTCAAATATTTTCTACTCAGAAATATTGGATCCTCAAAAAGCAATGAAAGAGCTCTCTGGTATCTAATATTATTGCCTGTACGTGTTACATCTTTTCCTGCCAAGTATTTTATGCTCAAGGCTAATTGGAGATCTGTATGTCTTGCACTGTAGCAATAGGTTATATACGTTCCTTTGATGATGAAAGTGAATTGCACAACGATGATGTGAATGACATTTTGAACTTGCTCACTGTATCTGAACTTCGTGAAATTATATGCATACTTAAGCAGGTTAGCATCTATTTATATTCATTATTTTCTCTATTTGAATTTCCTTTCTGTATAATTAATATCTTGGTTTGCTTTTCCTTAAAAAGAGTACAAAAGTCCGTAATGTTCTCATTTTGGTCAAATGAACATTCCATATTATCTATCAATAAGTATCTAGGACTACTAGCTTAAAGACTAAAGGCATGAATTCGATTCAATTTTAAGCGTTTAAAATGTATCACCTATGATGGACGGAGCATTTTGGGTGGATCTTTCTAGATTTGTTTGCATCCCTAGTTTATGCTCCTAAAGTAATGAATTGGCTTCTGATGACTGCATAGTAAGAGATCTACTGTGCGGACAGATACGGGTCAAACATCTAAGCAATGGTGATGCTGTAAGATTTCATTCTCCATTTGTAGATGATCTTATGAAACGGCATGTATTTGTATGTGCGCATAGTAGAGCATAATTCATGTATTGCAGATAATATCTTATCTTTTAAAGTCTTGCCTTGGATTTGATTGGTTCTAGTTACTGTTTACACGATTCTTTTACAGCAACTTGGCAATTTACGTTGTCTAATTAAGTAGTGCATCTAAAATGCTTCCCAATTTCAAAATGGAAAATCCTTTCCTTTTCTTTTTGCCTCTATTTTAAACTGGATGTTAGATCATGTAGAAACTTTTTTACATAGAACTTTCTGTCATCAATTGTTGGCTCTCCTTTGATTGCGTGTGTGGTGGTGGAATTGCTTCGTTATCTGATGCTCTATTTTCTCCCCTGCAAATTTATGCTTTATGGAGGCGTTAGAGATGCAAGTGTGGGACGAGAAAGCAGGAACTTATTGCATCTCTTCTTTCCTCGTATAAAGATGGATTATGGTACCAAATGATTTTCTTTTAACAATTATAAAAATCTTCTTTCTGTGATCCAATGTATCTTTTAAGCGTTCTTGCATGTTATTCGTTCAATTTGCAGTCCACCATTAGCAATTATGGTTTTGAAGAGAACAGGTGCCTGTCTCAGAATATCTTCCAAAGCTGAATCTCTTTTCTGGCGTGCTGAGGTCTGTCTTCTATTGTCATCTGTTACATACCAGCACCCAAGCTTTTTCTTTTTGGCGCGCGTATTCCTTTTCTTTTTGGCACACGTATTCTTTTTCTTTCTGAAGTTTGTGGTCCATGCAGAGGCTTTTCTTTCTAAATGGAGAGCAGGATCTGTCATCGTTTCTATTAGCTGACTTTGGCATTGTCAAGTACCCAACTTACAACTGCATAATCACAGAACCAATCTTCTCAGATCGAAATGATCTGCTTGCTTATGAAGAGGTTATTTATTTGTTTGTTTATTTGTTTATTTTTTGGGTAAGGAGAAATATATGGTTTTTCTTGCCTTTATCATGTGATAGTCTACCTTGCAGGCCATTGAAGTTGCACAAATGATTGATGAAGCTCTTGATGGAAACGACAGTGAATTGGTGTTAAGATGCATAAAGATAGCTGAAGTTCGCATTACCAGTGCATCTGAAGAAACAATGGAAACTTCAACTTCTGAATCATTGTTTACCTTTCGTTCTTGTTTTTCCGCATCATGGGTCTACTCTAAAGTCCTTACGTTAGGAGTTTCCTTTCTTGAGCGTGAGCGTAGGTAGAAAATGTGAACCTTCATATCACTCTTTGGCTTTAAAATTAACATGTAGTTGTGTGTGCTAATAAACTAACAAGAAAAGATTGAGAAAATCTTTACAATCTTAATGTTACTGCGTTATATTTCTTTGATGCAGAGAGAGATACTCTCCCTTCTCTCTAGAAGTCTAAGCGTCTGATCTTGTTTTTTCTAGACTTTCTATAATGAATCCGGCTTCCGTTCATAGGTTTAAGCATGAGTTTAGAATTAGTTCAAAGTTATTTACAGTCTCATTAGCTCAGGATGGGGGGGTTACATCAAATTTGAGGAGGTCAAGAAGAATCATAGATTTTTTCTCACCTGTACCAGTAATGCTGCTTTCTGTTTGAGTGATATACTAGAGATCATATGCAAGTCTAAAGCAAGTCAGGGGTTTAAGTATTGGGCCTCTTTGTGGGTATATGGGGATAAAGAGTTTGGTCAGCTGTTATTCTCTGATTTAGTGAGGAACTGGACTCCGTTTCTGTAGTTCTATCGTTTTTGTTCCGTTACTATTGTTACTTGTATTTTGGGACTTGATCTGTTAGAGAAAAGCTCTTCCTCTGCTCTTTTTTTTTTTCGTTTCGTTTAACCACCAATGAATATCTAGTGAACTTGTGAATTGTTTGATATCTCAATTCTCGCTTTGGCGCAACCATGATTATTTTTCTCTCTAAGATACTACTTGTAAATGATGTGATGGGTGCATAGATTTAATTACAAGGCAACAGTCTCAACACTTGTAACATGTTACCTGAAATTTCTTTGGGTTCCTATATTTATGTAGTTTACTCTCATCTAGTTGTGCTTCTGAAGCTCAAAAATTATTTATTCTGATAAGGTATGATGAAGCAATATATCTACTGAAGCGGCTGCTAGAGTGCTTTAGTTGTGGTCGTAGAAGAGGATATTGGATCCTGAGATTGTCAGTTGATTTAGAGCACGTGGGATATCCTGATGAGAGTCTTTCAGTTGCTGAAAGTGGACTATTGGATATCTGGGTGCGTGCTGGCTCAAGGATGGCCTTGCAGAGGCGGGTCCTTAGGTTGGGGAAACCACCAAGAAGGTGGAAAATTCCTAGTTTTGCGACTTTGGCCAAGAGGAAGATTAATGAGGTAATTGCTTCGTTTTGTTATGCATATCAAAGCTGTTGACCCTAACTTGAAGATAAGTTTTTAAGAAAGACATCAAATGATTACAATTTTCTAATTTGTTGCTGTTATTATGGATAATTTAGGTTCATGTTCGAGGAAGACCTTTGAATTCTGTGATTGGTATGAAGAGCAGGTTCTATGGAGAAGATGGTGAACAATGTGGGGTGGAGCAGCTTGCTCTCCAGTATTACGCTGGTAAAGGAGGTGGATGGCAGGGTGTTCATACAGAGAGTGGCATTTGGTTGACTATTTTTGGACTACTTATGTGGGATGTCATGTTTTCTGATGTACCAAATGTTTTTCGTACGAGATTTCAGGTATTTGTTTAGTTCCAGTACTAAAGCTCCTGTCTGAATCCCTTTTTAAATGTGAAGACTGAGCTTGAGGAAAATTTGTTAACCAAATTAGCTTGAAATGGATAATAACTCGTAAAGGCTGTTAATTGCGTATTTATCCTTCTGAAGTCTAAATCGAACCCTCTGATTGTTCTTTGTTCACTTGCCTGATTCAATTTGTTAAAAAATTATTGATTTGCTTCTTTATTTGGTATATCTAGTAAGGGTAGTTATGGATTGCTCTCTCTCTCTCTCTCTCTCTCTCTCTCTCTCTCTCATTGGAAATAGAGCTCACACTTGTCTTTATTTGTTTGGAGTATAGTCAATCTTTGATGTACGCTTAATATAAGGTTCTCTAGTTTTTCTTTTTTGGATGGGAGGGTGGTTGAAGCAAAACAAAATTTTGAAAGGAAAACTGATGGGTAATATTACCTTTTAAAAATGTACTATTGGTGAATGATTATTCTTCATGATCATCCATATTCAATGCATATGATTTGTTTGCTTGCTTTTATGTTTGAATTACGTAATTTATGTCTTCTATGGTTTCTTATTATGCTGTACTCAGTGGAGTTCGCTTAATTCATTTTGCAGACTGCACCATTGGACTTGGAGACTGATAGCTTTTATCTAGCAAGAAAGAGCAGTATAGAGTCTCACCTGCAGAAGATTCATGACGGCATGGCTGAGGAGATTGTCATCACGTCATGGGAATCACATACGAGAACAGCTTGCAGGGGAGTTAACTGGAATCAGCATACCCTATTTGAGCTCCGTGCGGCTGTTGCCTGCATCGGTGGCCCATGTTTGGCCTTATTCTGTCGACATCTTGCACAAGATTATCGAAGCTGGTCGAGTGGAATGCCAGATTTGCTGCTATGGCGATTTGATGGAGAATTTGAAGCTGAAGCCAAGCTTGTTGAGGTTAAAGGCCCCAGGGATCAACTATCCGAACAACAACGAGCATGGCTACTACTTCTAATGGATTGTGGTTTTAATACGGAGGTTTGTAAAGTGAGCCCTGAGCCAGCTTCTTGATCCGCTCTGGCATTGGCCTATAAAGTGTTTTTCGACTAGAAAAACATGTTGTGGAGCATGTGGTTTGATTCAATGGATTGTCCAATGGATGTTTCCATTCTAACACTTGCGACAAACCTCAAACATGGCTCACGATCCGTTACGAACTTCACAATGCTCCAAGGCAGGGTAGGCTTAATGTGAGATGGATGCCAATGATGTCAAAGGTACAGTGGACTGCACAGCCAATATTGCACTTATTAAATACATTCTTCTACTATGATGTTACACTATTGGTAAAGAGAATGCAAGTGGTGGCATGTTGAAACAATCCCAACAAATTGTGGGGATTATGTCATACAATTTGCCAAACATTGTTCTTCTGTATGTACGAGTGCAAGTTTATTTTGCATTCAAATGGTGTTACGGAAAATACCTTTGTTACTAAAAATTTTAAAGATCATTACTGGGTTTTATTACAATTATCACAATATCATAAATATTGCTCTAGTAATGGTACTGTAGATGCGTTTGTTTAGGTGCAGCACCTGGGTAAGAATAGTGTTCGATACTAATGAATCCTTAAAAGATAATCATGTATTGCTTTCAGATTAAATTTGTCTTCGTTCTCTAGTTCATTATATGCCTTTATTTGTGATGGTTGGATCTAGTTATGATCAAACAGTTATGGAGAATCAACCGGTGCTTTAAATTGAACTTCTGTTTCTAGTTGATGTCAGTACTTTTCAGCATAATTTTCTAGGGCAGTGTACAGTCTGGTTCAATCTTAAACCTTTAGGTTTTCAGATCGGACCATTATTAATAGTTTTAAAAAATTCAGACCGGACCACAGTTTGTAAGATAGGACCAGATCAGATTGGATCATTAGTTAATGATTCAAGCCGGTTATACCGCGGTTTGGACTGTTAGTGTGTTTTTTTTTTTTTATTTAAAGAAAATTAACAAAATCATATCACATAATACATATCGGCTTTGTTTGAGCCCTATAAAAATATAAAAAATCGCAATATAATAAATATTTCAAAAATATAAATATAAAAAAAATAAAATTTGAAATTTTACCCCTAAACTTTTAAAAAATTATAATGACTAAATTTTATAAAAATTTACAAATAGGTCCTTAGTGTTTTTCACAATGTGTTTTGGTTAAATGTTATCCCATGCTTCAGTAGAGAATAGCAATATTCCCTTTTAAGAGGGTCTGATAATTGACTGGATAAAAGTTTATCAAATCCAGTTCTTTAAAAATGTGCACCAAACAATTATTAAAATTTAATTTCATCCAATCCTCCTTAATCCTAAACACCAAACAAAGCCATCGTGCTTTAAAATTAGCATTTTAAAATATAGAAACAATAATAATATATAGTCCAAACTAATAACCAATAATATTACAGCATACAAAAGGTGACAGCAATAACATGCAATTCATAACAAACGTTAAGGCCTTCACTTGTAATATTACACTAATCCAAAACCAAAGGGTAACAGATAGTAATAACATGCAATCCAAAGCAAAAGTCCATACCTAATATTATTAGGTCATTCAAAGTCTAAATATAAATAACAAGTTTTTTTTTCTTTAATTTTTTAAGGGGAATGAGTAAAATAACATATTTGATAGGGTACTTAGTAATTATAGCATAATTTTTTAAAATAAGTAAATTATAACATAATTGGATAATATTAAGTTTCTCACATTATAAACACCCAAACATACCTCTAGACACTCTTCTTCCCACCTCTTTCTCCTTCCCCCTTCTAATTAGGTTCACCGTGGCCTGCACCAACAGTTGGCGGCCATTGCCGATGTCCGGCGGCTATCGGACGGGCACCAATGATCGACGTTCGGCGTCTGGCTCTGGTGACAAGACTCGCTGCATATGCAAGTTCTAAACATTAACCTGGCAAAAACAAAAAAAAAAATAGTGAAACATGAAAAATCAAAGCTTTTCTACCAAAAAAGAAGCGCCGCTAGCACTGACCAAGAGAAATAAAATCCAGAAAGGCTACAGTTCTATACAAGGAAAAATGAGATTGAGCGGTCCGGCCAACAAGTATTCTGGAATTAGAAAAAGAAAAAGTGTACCACAAGAGTTAAGACGAAGGTGGCTTTTTTAGTGTCGGAACGTAGTGACTTCAGAGGGAGGCAGTTCTGTAAATGAGAGGGCCAAAAAAAGGAAGGCATGTTGGGTAGAAAAATATGATGGCAATCTTGTCAATAAGTTGCAGAAATAGACGTTATTTTGATTAGTGTAGCTAATGCATCTTAAGGGACACGTGGCAAAAAAATAGACTAGCGTCTAAACAAATGTCTAATTCAACGTTTGAATTTAGCATTTCTATATCTAGTAAATCCAGTAGAGAAATTCCAAAATTCAAGATTTACAACATCACTTTTTAAAGAACCGTACAAATTTTAATGAAAAGTTTTGGATATACACGGGAGAGTTAGAGAGAGTAGAGGACAGAGGACAGAGAATAAAAAATTGAGAAAAAAAGGAAAAAAAGGAAATGGAAAAAATAGCAAGAAAAGGATAAAATTGATAAATTAAAAACTGAAAACATGACATGGCCTGTTAATTTTTATACATTGGTAAATTGGTCGTTTACTTCTATAAATTTTAAATGTAGACATATTTTCTACAATTTCTCATCATTTTTATGAAAAGATCACTTTTTTTTAATAAATTTTAAATGTAGGCTTATTTTCTACAATTTCCTATCATTTTTATGAAAAGATAACTTTTTTTTACAAGATATGAAATGACCTTTTGTACCCAAGTTTAATATGAAATTTCGAAATAACTGTTAGGAAAGTTGGTAGAAAGTTAAATACTTCGAAAAATGATTGCTACTATTGATATCAAAACTGGGATCAATATACTTTAAAGTACATTTAAGGACTAATCATTGTTGGGGCTCTTTTGGTGAGGACCTGTCGACGTGGAGGGTGCGAAACTCATTGCCTCATTCGGTTGGTCAACATTATATGTACGTCGGTCATACCCTGTCAGTGCGTCGGCCGGCATAGGCTAATGAGCTTCTAAGTGTGATTTTTGACGTCGAAGATGGCCGAAGTGAAGACATTGGCCCCGGTTGGGTTAGGCTAAACCCGGATGACCCCGAGGACAGCGGTATCCGAGGGCAACATCCGTTGCGATTCCGGCTCCGAGATAGTGAAGAGTTTTCGATGAAGACTTCTAGTGAGCATATGGCGTGGGAGAGGAATGTAACCGATTTATGGAGGAAGTTCCTAAGCATGTAATTGGGTTATATCCATTTGTTTGTGAATAGAACGATTTCAACGGACGTAGTATGTTGGACGGGATAAGGCTCCGTTTTAGAAATATTAGGCTATGGCTTAGGTGTTTTCACCAGTTCCAATGGGGAGAACGCCTAGAAACTTGTTCTAGAGGGACTCCGCCGAAAGTTATGGAGATTAAAGTTCTTCGTCTGGCATTCCCATAAACCAAAATCCAAGAGGTGAATAGCCGGCTAAGAGGAGAGTTTTTTGAGCTTGTTGTTTTGTGTATTTCAGAGACTCCTCAAAGCTATTAGATGTGTGATAAGCCATATTCACATGTTTGTGAAAACCAGCTGTAAGACCGCGACAAACGTAGTACGCCGGTCGGCATACGTAAACTTTGGGTGTTGTAATCCATGGTTGGGTATTCTCAGAGGTTATCCAAAGCTTTAACCACTTTCAATAGGGAGAACGCCTAGAAACACGTTCTAGAGGAACTCTGCCGGAAGTTATGGAGATTAGAGCTCGCTGAGGAGTATTTCGGTAAGTGAAAAACCAAGAGTTGTAACTAACAAAAGGAGGAGGTTTTAGGCTTGTATTTAGGTTGTTGATGTTGGGTTTTCATGTGTGTTTAGTTTGGGGAAGAACGCCCAAGCATTACTTGCTCGGAGGAGCTTTGCCAGAAACCATGAGAAGATAAGAGTTTCTCTTAAATGGGAGAGCTATGCTTGGCTTGCTCTCTCTCTCCCTTTCCCATTTTCCCCCCTTTTCTAGAGTGTAGGGATGTGGTATTTATAGGCAAGGATGGGGGCTCCAAGAGGAGGGAAATTTCCCTCTAAGAGTGTTTGAATAGTTGCGTCAGTAAGACATTTTTAGCATGGTTCAATGGTGGCTTTCACCTCCTACAAGCAAAAGCTTGCCAATAAGATGCAGGGATGGGCTGTTAAGCAGCCAATAGGAGCTCTCTTGGTTATTTCGGGTGAAGCCAGAGCAGGCAGCCAAGGGGTTAAGAGTTTGCTCTTCCTTATTTGTGCTTACCTGCCCTTTTTATGATTTTGGGGAAGAGGCCGTGTTTGACCTCTAGGAAGGAAAGCGAAATGAGAGGGAAAAAAAGGAAAGATATGGAGAAAAATGCCATTTTGTCTTTTAGTGCAAGGTAATGGACCAATGGACTTTTTCTAGACTATTTATAAAAGGTTTGGAACTGTAAATGTGGTAACTGTAAGCTTAGGTAATTTGTTTTACTTTGTTTAATTTTCTCCATAACCCACGTTATCCTAATTCCCTCATAGACCTAAGACCACAAGTGGGCCAAGGATCTAATTGAGCTGGATAAAATAGGCCCGGTCACATTCCTTGGCCTGTCAAATAGCGGCCCACATAGAAGTCCCCGAAGCGTGGCTTGGATCCACGTACCATACCTTGGGTCGTCTTGTGGGATTTGGGCCGAATCCGTACCGTGCGATTTTTTAGGCATCAACATTAGCCCCCTTGATTTAATGGGCTATGTAGCGTAGCGAGATAGGCCATACAATCAATCTTTGAGTCTGACAATCCATTTTGTCTGTGTTGGTGTAGAATCAAGTTGTTAGCTGAATCCATTAGCGTAGAAGCAAGCCATCTTTCAGAGAATCTATAACCAATCTAGTAATTGCATCGTCATTACACCGAGCTTTTATTTTCTACCAACTGCTCACTCTTTTTTTTTAGCTCATTCCTTATAGCCAAGAATAACTCCTCCAACAATATTATTATTATTTTCTTTTTTCAACACCCCTTTTTCTTTTATTCTCCCATACCATTTTTTTTTTATCCTTCAAAACGTACAACC